TCACATAAGTGGCAATATTTCGACACTATAGTAAAGTCCACGACAATGCCAGTGAAAATGTCAATGACACAGCCAATCCCATACAAAGAGCAATGGCCACGTTTCATCCACGTTCCGTCATATGACACTCTAATATTCAAAATCCCTTCGTCATCTTCACAGGAACTGTTATACTTTCTATATTCGTCTCTCACTTTCATTCTGCACTTTTGGAGAACTTCATTTTTGAACGCCTTATTCTCTTCTGCTAGGTGAAGAACATATTTATCAAATGTTTTTCTATCCATTGGTTTCAGTCCCATTGTCGCAGAGAATTTTTCCAAAGCAAAATGGCCTTTGCCTACATTCAGAAAGGCTGCAACCACATCTTTGTTTACGACAAACTTTTTACTGTCAGGCATTCTGGGACTTGAAAAAGTACTGCTAAAAGCATTACTGCAAGCTTGGCAATAGATTTGCAATTTAGCTGAAAGACCATATTCAGTTGATTTTCTAACATCAAGGCAGTGCTGCTCACAACCAGAGCATTTTAACTCTTTCAAAAGAGAAGGCCAAACCTCATAAGCAATAATTGTGCTTGATGACACTGGCAAATCAGTATCATTACAATATTCATCTGAGAAAAGTTGTAATTTTTTTTCACTTCTAGATGTATTAAGATCATCTGGAACAGGTTCAGAATGAAGAAACATTTTCAATGTTTTTATTCCATCTAGCTTTATTTCTAGCTTCAGCTAGTCGGCGTTTTTTAGATGGAAGTGATTTTGGAGCATGCCATCTGGAGTTAATTTTATGCATTTTTAGCAAAAAATAAATGTAAAAAAGTAATAATAAACAGACTACAGGGCAAATGGCTTACGGGCCACTTCTATTAAGCCTCTGGTCGACTGTCATTCGTTAAATGGATTTTCCTGCAGTATTATGCAGGTTACGAGACAGTTGTGTCGCTTTCGCTAGAAATCTTTATTAATAGTCTTGAGACGGCATTGTTTCCCTTTTGTGGCTTTGACCAGGTCGGTGCACCACTGTTCCTATCTCTCACTGTTAACTGTTTGCACAGAGTGAGCACCACATATCTAGAAATCTTGAGGTCCCTACATTAAGTAGCCTGTGATTTCAACTAACTATCTATCATTCTTATGGCCTGATTCCTGGCCTTTGCTCTCGAGGAAAGACTTTGATTTCAATTTAAACTATTTTCAAGTGTTTTGTCAAAGTTGTTCATGCATTGAATATTAGTAACAATTTAAAATCTCTCCCGCAGCCATTAAATCACATAATCGCAAGTATGAATTTGGTTCATTTCAGCATAGTTTGCAACAGCACGGTTTGCAACGTAGTTTGTCAACTTAATCCGAAAGAAGATTGAAATTATTAGGCAATAAATCGACTATGATCTTGGAATTTTCTCTCTCGTTGTTACTGGGGACACTAAGCCTTGTAAGGCTTAGTTGTTGGGCCTAGATGTTTAGACCTTGCTAGGCAGAAAAATAGGAATTATATTTTCATATAACAATAGCTATAAGATTTGTGGCCATCTCATGAATATCTTGAGTGAAACAAAATACTGTATCTCTATATTTTTACAAAATTAAAGTACCCACACTTTTCAGTTGGCAAAAAAAAACATAACGTTTTTAGTGATAAAACATTTTTTGTATAGAATTTCCTGGTTGGAAAATGCTGAGGAAAAAGTACTTTCGAATAAATTATTGAAAATATTTATAAATATTCTAAAGTATTGTAGTGATTTATTTCGTTGTTTCTAACAATGATAAGCAGCTATTTAAACAGAGCAGCGTGTTTTTATTATAATTGAGTTAATACATTTGAAAAGGAGAAATATGATTATTTTCCCTATGAAACTTATTAAGTGCACGTTTTCCTTATTTTTTTATTTATTTTACTCCCCATATTATAAATTTTAGAAAAAAAAAGCATAATTTAATGATTTTTTAAATTATACCTATTATGCATTTTGTATGGATTAGAGTTCCTGCTCCGTTATAGAATTACGACATACGGTTAACATTCTGTGATTAGTTGAAAACCAAGATTTACGGAAATGAAACGAAATAAACATTTTCCCGTATGATGGAGTGATTGACGAGATATTTTTATCTAACGTAACCTTATGATTTCACGTATATATTTTTTTCATTTTTATTAAAATAACTGTTCAAAATATCAGCACAAAGGAAAAATTTCTGGTAAATTACTACATTGAATGGTAATGGCATTTCTGATTTAAAAAATAGAAATTCTAGTGTAATAAATGCAAAAATAAAGAGCAAATTAAAACGAATAAATGGTTTTTATCCCATGACTTAAGGCATTATGATAAAAACACCACATTTTACTACATAAACCAAATTTATCATATATTGAAAAACCACATATCATTATTAATTATGACCAAGGTGCTTCCATTAAAAATACCGAGCTTTTTTGAGTTCCCATAGGGCAAGAAGCACGGTAAATTTTGCTATTTTTTTGGAAGTTTTCAAGATATTTTTTTTTCTAGCTGCAAATAAGCATAAATATACTTTTAAAAAATTTTTATATTGTGAATAATTAGATTTTAAAAATTTTGGTAGCCAACTCGTCACTTTTATCAGGGTATTTATGTTATTATGTATGCCAAATGAGTTGTTTCTTTTTTTTTTGTTAAAAAGTTAAGTTTTCTTGCTAAGAAATTATTTTCAGTGAAAAATCTTGTAAACAAACTTAAAATTAAGTTAAATTTTAATATTTAAAGAGCTGAATCTATTCTTCAATAATTTGCTGCAATTTGAAGTAGTTTTTGTGTCTCTTTGCTGAGAAAAGAAAAACGAAATGTAACGTTACAAAGTATTGGAAATCGTTGTATTGCGTTGTATTTCAGACTACAGAACTTCAAAAGGTACTGTTTATTTATGAATTTTAACTAATTGTTTTGATTCCTCTTCATTTTAATTTATAAATTTTAAATATTATTGTTTTTATTTTCTTTCGCGTCTCTTGACTATGAAAAAAGACAAAATGTAACGTAGCAAAACATTGTAACAGAGAAATCGTTGTATCTCAGCCTGCAGAACTTCAAAAGATAGTGTGTTTTTTTAACGAATTTTAAATAACTATGCTGGTTTCTTTTTATTTGGATTTATAAATTAATTTTAAACTCGGTCACATATTATACTATAACAGAGATGGAGAACGAATGGCACGCAACACAATATTTTAGGCACGCCGCCAATCACAAAGTTCACTATGAAAGCATATTAACAATTGAATTAAAACTCACAAAAACAAAGAAAAAGAAAAAATTTTCATAAAAATTAGCAATTAATGCAAAAAAATTAGTAACCATAAAAAACAAGCTAACAATAAATAACTAGCAAAAAAATTAACAAAATTAAGAGATATTATGACGCCCAAGCAAAGGCAAGGAGATTCGAAAGAGCAGGTCACCAGAGTAAAAACATAGCCAACGAGCTCATTTTTCGTCCTCTGGTCACCAAACTAAAATATCTTCTATGTAGATTCACTTTCCTGAGAAGGTATTTATAAATTAAGTACATTTAAACATGATAAAGCTTGTAATGCATGTTTAAAGATAAACTTTTTTTATTATACAACATTTATTATATTTTTTAAATCATCACTAAATATTTTTTTTATATATAAATAAGTTTCGTCATTATTGACAATTAATGAAAACTTAGCTGTATTACAAGTGTGGGGTAAAGGAAAACAAATATAATAGATATCCGTTATAAATATTTAAGATACATAAAAAGAAACTAAAAACTATTTTTAAAAAAAAAAAATTTAAGTTTAATTAAGCTAACTTGAATGTTAAAAATAATATTTTCCGAATGAAAGTATTGATAAAACGTTAAGAAAAATATAGTCTATCGGAAATGTTTTTGAAAGTGCTGCGCTGTTATGAAAATACCAAAGAGAGAGAAGAAAAAAGATTAGAGACAAAACAAAATAAAAATCTATCTTCATTTCGAAAGAAAATTTTAAAGGTCCTGAACGTCTCTGTTTTTTAATTATACTGTATTTTTAATAAAAAATGAAGAAAAAATATAAAAACCTTGACAAAACTAGATAAAGAAGCAATAACAGCACCAAATAATCAACAATTATAATCAACACCAAAGCAATAATCAATCTTTTTTTTTTTTTAATTTAATTCTAAAAATCTGAAATTAAGTTTTTTACATTGCTGTATTTTTAGATAGAGTGAAAAGGAAAGAATAATATTCTTTGGAAACGCTCTTTAAAAAATGTTTTGTCTTAATAAAAAGGCTGATAAAAAGAAAAGTTAATAGGAAAAGAGAAAGAAAAATTTCCTAACCTCGCAAAATATAACTTTACACTGAAAGTCACAGCTTTTTTGTTACCGCCTATACGTTATTTATAGAAAAAAAATCTTATATAAGTACGAAAATTGAGTCAAACAAGAATGAAAACCAGAATTTAATTAAAATAAATCAGAATGGAAAAACGCTATTAGCAGCTAAAATCAACATTGAAAAACAATAAAATCTTTCAGTAAAACAGTAAAATCTTCATTTAAAAGCCGCACTTTAATGAAGAAAAAAAAAAAAATATGTTTTCAATTCTTGAATTGGAATTGTTGAATAAAATCTGTTACATATGTTCACCTAAATATAATTAAAAGAAATCATCAGTAGAAAACATGTGGTTCAGGATAAAATAATCTAGTTTCATTTCTTGAAATTTCACTTTTCCATTTGTTTTCCAGAACATATATTTGCAAACACATGAATTTTGAAACTTATCTGATATGTGTAAAAACTATATCAGATAATTTTTAGTAAAAATACTATTTTAGATTGTTCTTTATTTTATTGATTAAAATTCCAAAAATAATGTATTTTTAAATATTTTTCCAAAAAATACTTGGCTGAACATACGGCAAATGAGCTGAATACCTAATAGTAATCAAATATTCATTACATCACTAATTGATATTGTATGGATGATACTTTCCATAATTTTTAACTGGTATTCTTATAGCGGTTTTATGAAGAGAGACGATAGGAGGGATACAGGAAGGCCTTTTTATGGGGATGATTCTCGGGAACGTTTCATGGACAAACCTAGGTCTGAAGGCCCTGGTGGATTTGATCACTTTTCTGGACCTGGTGGTGATTCTTTTAATGCTCGGTAATAATTTGTTAAAGCTTAAGAATAATAGTTTTTACCTACTTAGTTGTATTTTTTTCCAATTAATATTTTAGAAGTTGCAACCTTAAAAGCGCATTGAAAGGAAATATAACTCTTACATTTTTTACTATGAACCAATATTTAAATTTTTAAAAAAAACTTCCTCTTTTAGGAAAAACAACTTTATTTCCTGTCCTGATTTTTTCTTATTTGTTTCTGTCGGTTCTTGAAGGCTAAATTATCCGTAGAAGGGTTATATCTTCTGTTAGCAGCAAAAAATAGGTGAAAATAAAATTTATTTAAAGAGAAATCATAGCTGAGGTTAGACAAAACCTCTGTTTTGACTTCTCTAATTACGAATTAAATTTCTCACTTTTTGCTGGCCGCAGACTTAATCCTTCGATTGTTGATTCAGTCTTTGATAAGCTTACTAAATGCCAATCATTTTCTCTCATAATAATCTTTACTGCGAACTGGTTACTTTACTGTTTTTCTCTCTTCTTTTCTGTGAAATTGCTAAAATATCCATCCTTCATCTTGAATGTTTCTAAATCATTGGGGCAAAGGGCATCTTGTCAATCCGCCCTTTGTTATGTTGGGCAAAATAGACTTAATCTAAAATTTTGATTAAAGGACAAATTTGAGTCACCAAGAGAAGGTCAAATTATTAATTGCCTGACACTGTTAGATATCAGGTATAAATTTAATTTCCGTAATGAATGTTCATCTTGATGCCCTTGTGTCTTGTTTCATTCATTTAATTGCTAATTTTCTAATAAATTAGCTTAGTTCTGCCTGCATTGCCTTTGAAATCTATTCTGCCCTGATTTGCTTTTCAGCTACAATGGCTTTTCCATGCATTTTTTTATTTTTTATTATGTTGGTAACTGTGTTTTTTCTTCAGGGTGCGTAGCGTTTTTAAAAAGTGCTTAAAGGTGCTTATTTTTGATTTTTGTTTTATAAAAGCCCTTAAAGGTGCTTTTTTTCATTGGGTGTTTTTAAAAAGTTCTTTATTTTCCCTTTACCATGTTGATTTTCGCCACGTATTGTGCAAAAAGACACTGTTCGCATTGTTCTATTCAACATTTTCATAATAATTCAACACCAATCTATTTCGGCATACTGTGAGTCCGTAGCGTATGAAAATGCCATTCATTTTAAATGATTCATAATTTTTGACAATTGTCAAAAGTTTTTTTTTTGACATGGTGGTTAAAACAGTCAATTATCAAAAACTTGCCTACTCTGCCTAATTATATATATTTTTTAAAGTTCTTAAAAGATGCTTATTTCTTGTTGAAAAATTTGGATACGCACCTTGTTCTTATTTCTGCCTTGCTCTATTTTCATTTTTGCTTTTCTTTCAACTATGAAGAAGAAGAAAAAAAATTATCATTTAACTGCTTGTTTTATTAATTAAGTGTCCTGCTGCTTTGTATTTAGAAGAGGTTTGCTGTAATCAGAAAGGTAGTATTAAATTTGTATGCTAAGAAAAATTTACATAATTTTCAGTCATACCTCTGAAAATTGTGTGAATTGGTATAATCAGAGTTTTACTGTAATGGAAAATATTATTAAGTGTGCTTACTTGGCCACATGCGCTTGAAAAAAGGTTGTTTTTTTTCAGCACTCTCGAGTTCAGTTCAAATTATTTTATTCCAGAGCTAAACAGCACCAAAGCTAAGTTGTGAATAAGCAAGTTTTGGTTACAACTGGCAGCACATAGTGTCAGAATGCAGAATTAGTAATGTAGTATGCTGTGAATTAAATGTTAATCTTTAATTTATAAAGTTCATCAAGTATTTTTTTTTCATGTTTATAACAAGCTGGTTTTCTAAATAATTTAGCATTACAAACAATATTTGTACTAATAAAAGTTTTGTGATTTTTCAGCTTTTTATAATTTAACTTTATTAATATTTGCAGGTCTATGAACTTTCCGAGTGGTCCACCCCCAAGAATGCCTACTGGAGGTTTTCCCAAGCCTAATGAATGTGAAATAATTGTTGTAAATAAAAATCACAGGTGAAAACTACACTCCTTTTATGGAGGAAAATTGATCTCATTTTATATCTTTTTGGGAAAATTGATGTTTATTTCAAGAAAATTTTGATTAAAATATTCTTGAATAAAAATTTACTGATATATTTTAGGGTTTATGCAGAGTCAGTTGAAGCTAGAGTGAAAGAAATTGGAATTGTTGTTGATATGCTGTTTTTAAAAGATGAAGCTCTCTTAACACAGACCATTGATGATATTGCTCGCCGTGGTAGCTTATATGCGATGGTTATTAGCCCGCAAAATGAAACTCATAGATCTGTTACAGTTAATATTCTTCATGGCACTCCTCAAGGTATGATAAGTTATTCTATTGTAGATCTTTTATTTATTTTTTATATGTTATAGATAAATTTAACATTATTGATTAACTTGTTGCATTGCATGCAAAATGATTTTAAGTAGAAGAAAATATCAAGAAACTGCCATTATCACTCCTTGACATAAAAGCTAAACTCTACTGGATTTTGCCAGTTTCTCCTGGTATACTGGTTTAGTAAAAATTCTAGTTTTTGTGCAATTTTGGAAAATTCCTATTGAAATAACATTTTTGCACTGATTAATGCTTTCTTGAATATTTAAATACGTATTACTAATTCATAATCAAGCTAGCCTCATTTATAGAGAGAAAAAATTTTTGTTTTAAAATTGTTTTTTTATTTTTATTTATTTAGAACTCCCTTTTTTAAATTAATTACAAAGTCTTTTAACTATGTCAGTATTAAATGTTTATTGCTATTCAATAGTAGGAGTAAATATAATGCATAGCATTTCAAACTTATTGAATGTCAATCTTAAATGGAAAATATTGCACTTTTTTTTTTTGATGACCATAAAATTCCCTATGTGTAAAATATCATAAAATTATTATAATTATCATAATTTAATAATTATCATAATTATATAATTAATTTAATAATTATAATAATTATAATAATATTAATTTAATAATTATTATAATTATCATATTATAATTATCATAAAATTAATATTATTTCATAAAATCTACTAGATTTTTTCATGTTCATGTTTGCATCTATGTAAACTTTAGCCAGTGATACCTCCCATTAAGAGATAGTCTCTTTTAGGATGTGACTGGTAGTCAGCTATTAGTATTGAAACAACAGTTTTAGCATTACTGCCTAAGGCTCTCAACTTATTAGACTATAGCTGATCTCAAAGACACAAACAAAGTTATTCAATTATATTTATTTATTTATCGTAGCTTATTCTAAAAGTAGCTTCCATCTGCAAATTTCTTTATTTAATTTATTGTAAAGCTTACTACAAAATACATTCATAAAAAATTATCTTCTTACCCCTTTCAAAGAAAGTTTTTTTAATCAGATTGAATTCATATTCTACNAATAATTAAAAATATATAAAGTATTATTGTTGCTTTTTGTGTCATAGTGGTACTGACTCCTACAAAGATGTTTTCTAACTATTTAATCAGGTGTAGTTTGTTTTTCCATAGTTAAAGCTTAGCTAAATGGGAACAACTTGCTGTCATCTCATGCAAATAAATTTACAAGTGGAAAAACGTTTTATATTTAACAAGGTTGTCTTTTATTTTATTTTGAATTATAATTGTATTTGGCTATAATCATGTTTGAATTTATATGATATTGCATGGAATTAAAGATAAATTATGTGTTATCATGTTCTGATTGTGTTATTTCTATTTTTGATTATAAAAATGATCATGTCCTAGATAGTGTTTCAATGGCAATAGGTTTTTTTATCCCTTCTTGATTTTGAAGAATGCTTAATGTGTTCAGCTCGAAAAACATGTATCCGATTAACTATTCCAATCAAATCAACAATTTGTATTCCAATTTATTTAAATGTTTATCTGGGTTAATATGTTACAAAGTATGCTATTTTGTTTGGATTAAGAAAACATGGCAGCTAACTCTATTAATTTTTCCAGTAGAGTTGGCAGTTATGATTAGACACAATTTTTAAAGTTTTTCATGATTTAATCAAAATTGCAGATTTTTCTATATCTTATAAAATTCTCTAAAATTGTTAAAGATTCTGAAAACGATCACTAGATTAGATTAGATTTTCAATCTACTAATTGCTTACTTGAGTATTCTAATAAGTGTTGCTACTAAATAAAGCGGTAGACTATATCTATAGTAATTAGTTGTAGATTTTTTATGCAGTCAACCTTGTTAGGACAAAAACAATTAACTCTTTAAAGAATGCTATACAGTGGGCAGGCTTTGTGGAAAATTCTGTTTTATCTACAGTACCAATTTAAGGTGTTAAAAAAATGATTTCAAGTAAACTTATATTAAACCATAAAGTTTCAAATGCTGTTTTTTTTTTTTTCTTGAAATATCAAATTACGGCAATATACTCAATAGGGAAATAATATTGCCATAATTGTTTTTTTTTTTTTTTTTTTAGGAGAATTTTCCAGCATTTGAAACTTTATGGTTTACCTTGTGTTTGCCTGAACCTTTCTTTTCTGTACTTTAAAATTTAGCTTTTAGGAGAAAACAGAATTTGTCATTTAAAGTTTCTCTCATGAAATAGCGTCCTCTTAACAAGAAGGGAAACAGTTTTCCTATCATGTTATTTTGAAAAACAATATTACAGTGTGACGTCCCTTTTCCGGAAGGGTTGATATCTCGGACACTTTTTAACAATCAAAATAAGCATCTCTTCATCTTCCCCTCTTTTAAAAAAAGAAAGAAATGAGGTCTTTTGACACGTTTTCTCTTTTTCTAGCTTCTAATGATTTATGCAGTGAACCCATAAATCACCAGAAAGAGGAAGAGAAGATCTACTAAGACCGTTAGTGACGCTCCCACCCCCCCTATTTTCAACGGAGAGAGCAACCTCGCAAAGTTGAAGGAAAGCCCTCCCTCATTAGACATGGATATCAGCCAATTAGACATGGATGCCACGTGCCATTGACCACAGCCGGCCAGGGGGTCTACCTTTCTGCATGTAAAATGGCTTGTGCCTACGTGTGCCTCGACAGACTCCTCGGACGGGGTCATTTAAATCTATCACTCCTTATCTCCCCATCTGCTGACCAGACGAGTGGTCCTCTCGCCGTTCAAACCCCCTTCCTCTAGCGTCCACCATGTAAAAGGGGACGACCGCAAACGATCTGTAGCTTACAAATTATCAATTTGTAATTGTGGGATATCTATTTCACTGAGGAAAGCAAAAGCAGCCTGCCCTCAGCCTTAAGGAAAGAAGAAATACTGTTGGAAAGCATGAGCGCTGCGAACGTTAACATGGAGGAGGAGTCAAAATAGAAAATTTGAATAGGTCTAAAAAGATACACGTCCTTGAGTAACATTCGTTCTTCCCCTGACCATGTAATATTTAGGAGGCGGGGGGAAAGGGGGGTAACATTCTTTCTTTAGCATTGACATGAAAAAGATTCCAGGAAAGATTTCCAGGAATCCCTTGTACTGAAATATGAATTTGACTAATGGAAGTCCCTTTATTCCAAACCAAGAACTAAATTTTTCTCCGAAATTTATTCCTTTTTCTCATGCAGTGCATCTGCAAATACATTATAGGAACAGGTGAATACCTTGGCGAAATAAGTCTTGCAAAATACTCCAAAACTAATTTCTCTCGCCAAATATCTCGTATTTAAAGCAATCCAATGCGTCACATTTGTTCGTTTTTGCGATCTAGCTTTTGTGAGTTAAGAAATTGTGATTTTCAACTACATGTTTTTTTAAATTATTTTTATTAAGTTTTTTAATAAGTTATTCAGGATTCCCACGGTACTTGAAAAACCTTGAAAGAATTTTGTTGAAAAAAATCAGGGCCCTGATAAGTACTTGATTTTTTAGAAATTAAAATAATACTAATCTTTCTTTCAAAAAAGCAGTAAAAAAAAATTATAAATAAAATCAAAGGAAAATTATAGAAATTCTGATAGATGCAGTTTTTAATGCTTGAAGTGAAGATGGGTTAAAGAAGATGCAAAACTTTTCTGTCCTAGATTTTTCATACCAAATTATTGATCATCTCTCTGTTGTGAAAGCTGAAATTTCTAGCAAACTTAAGGTTTTGTAGTCACAGTTTTCGAATGATATGTAGTGTTTAATCGATTTAGAAATATGTCAATGTGTTAACTTTGTTATTACGACAGGTTAATATTGGTATCCTATTTTTTCTTTTAATTTACGTACGAAGGATAATTAGTTTTTTTTATCATTTATAACCAAATTTTTACATTTAGTTTTTACTGCTAATAAATAAAATTTAGTTCTACAGGTTTCATTGATCATGAATAAATGTCATGATTCACATTAAACTGATTCTTGATTTACAAATCAGAATTCATATAAAATGTTCTACAAATTGTCGTTTAAATTAAAGTGATTAATGACTCACATATCGAACATTACTTGAAAGTGATTTACAAATTACTCATCAGGATTCACTCATCATGATTTCAATGAAAGTTATTTCTGAATCATATAACGTGATACATATTAAAGTTATTTCAGAATCATACCTCACAATTTTCATTCTAGTAGTTAAAAATCAGGCATTGCGATTCACGAAAGAGAGATTTAAGAATTGCCACTTGCA